CACCCCCCCTCCAGGGTATGAGTCACAGCGGGTACTCTCATACTCTCATCACCCGGAGTACCACCCTGCCAGTCACCTCCCATTATTCTGCATGGAGTGCTTTCACGGCTGCCAACACCTTACCTTAGGGCTCTTCCTGGCTTAGTCTGTGTATGGAAGTTCACGGGGCAGAGGAACTACATACCCGGTGCTGATATTTATTCATTAGAATCACGACAAATGGATAAAAACCAACTGAAAGCGGAACCCGGGGGGGGGGGGAAATAGTTGGAACATCTCTCATCTCTCAGTCTGGATCACGTACCCCTGTGAGGGAGACTTCCCCACTTCCTGCCCTGGTGACCGTCTAAAATCTCACCTCAATGGGGTCTACATGTAATACTTCATTCTAGCCACTAGATGGTGCCGTGGAGCACAGAAGATATATGTGGCCTTCCCTGAGCCCTTCAGCGCCATCTAGAGGCCAAAATACCGTATTACATCATATCATTACCTTCATCAAATATATTCAGAACGCTTATTGTGATTCGCAGGGCGAAGGGTCATGTGATCACAGACAACTATCAGAGGTGGGAACTGAGAGACTTTCCAGCTCTTCGGTGCTCATCTGGCAGACACGTTCAGTTTTCAGTTGATCACAATAGAAGAGGTTCCAATCAATCTAACCAATCAGATTCCAGCAGACACCCAGCCCCTCCCCCGGCCTACACTTTGAGCACTGTATACATTCAGAATCTGTCCGCTGCGCGGTCACCTGTACGATGGCGGGAGGTTCAAATGTAGAAACTGAGGAGCAAAAAAATACAAAATTCTGACAGGGGCCAAATATTCCCCCAAATTCCGGGAGTGACCGTCACACCCAATGGCAGCCGACTTCAAATATTCTGCAAGCTGAAAGGAACCAAAATCTACTGGAATGAGGCATTATGGGAAGACATGAAATGTCAGTGGATGAGGACTGCTGATCCATCACCGAAACTCCACCGCAACATTCATGGATTTCCTCCAGTAGTTTGTGTCTCTGCCCCTCCCACAATGGCGAGATTTCCCCCCAGTAGTTTGTGTCTCTGCCCCTCCCACAAGGGTGAGATTTCCCCCAGTAGTGTCTCTGCCCCTCCCACAATGGCGAGATTTCCCCCCAGTAGTTTGTGTCTCTGCCCCTCCCACAAGGGTGAGATTTCCCCCAGTAGTGTCTCTGCCCCTCCCACAATGGCGAGATTTCCCCCCAGTAGTTTGTGTCTCTGCCCCTCCCACAAGGGTGAGATTTCCCCCAGTAGTGTCTCTGCCCCTCCCACAATGGCGAGATTTCCCCCCAGTAGTTTGTGTCTCTGCCCCTCCCACAAGGGTGAGATTTCCCCCAGTAGTGTCTCTGCCCCTCCCACAATGGCGAGATTTCCCCCCAGTAGTTTGTGTCTCTGCCCCTCCCACAAGGGTGAGATTTCCCCCAGTAGTGTCTCTGCCCCTCCCACAATGGCGAGATTTCCCCCCAGTAGTTTGTGTCTCTGCCCCTCCCACAAGGGTGAGATTTCCCCCAGTAGTGTCTCTGCCCCTCCCACAATGGCGAGATTTCCCCCCAGTAGTTTGTGTCTCTGCCCCTCCCACAAGGGTGAGATTTCCCCCAGTAGTGTCTCTGCCCCTCCCACAATGGCGAGATTTCCCCCCAGTAGTTTGTGTCTCTGCCCCTCCCACAAGGGTGAGATTTCCCCCAGTAGTGTCTCTGCCCCTCCCACAATGGCGAGATTTCCCCCCAGTAGTTTGTGTCTCTGCCCCTCCCACAAGGGTGAGATTTCCCCCAGTAGTGTCTCTGCCCCTCCCACAATGGCGAGATTTCCCCCCAGTAGTTTGTGTCTCTGCCCCTCCCACAAGGGTGAGATTTCCCCCAGTAGTGTCTCTGCCCCTCCCACAATGGCGAGATTTCCCCCCAGTAGTTTGTGTCTCTGCCCCTCCCACAAGGGTGAGATTTCCCCCAGTAGTGTCTCTGCCCCTCCCACAATGGCGAGATTTCCCCCCAGTAGTTTGTGTCTCTGCCCCTCCCACAAGGGTGAGATTTCCCCCAGTAGTGTCTCTGCCCCTCCCACAATGGCGAGATTTCCCCCCAGTAGTTTGTGTCTCTGCCCCTCCCACAAGGGTGAGATTTCCCCCAGTAGTGTCTCTGCCCCTCCCACAATGGCGAGATTTCCCCCCAGTAGTTTGTGTCTCTGCCCCTCCCACAAGGGTGAGATTTCCCCCAGTAGTGTCTCTGCCCCTCCCACAATGGCGAGATTTCCCCCCAGTAGTTTGTGTCTCTGCCCCTCCCACAAGGGTGAGATTTCCCCCAGTAGTGTCTCTGCCCCTCCCACAATGGCGAGATTTCCCCCCAGTAGTTTGTGTCTCTGCCCCTCCCACAAGGGTGAGATTTCCCCCAGTAGTGTCTCTGCCCCTCCCACAATGGCGAGATTTCCCCCCAGTAGTTTGTGTCTCTGCCCCTCCCACAAGGGTGAGATTTCCCCCAGTAGTGTCTCTGCCCCTCCCACAATGGCGAGATTTCCCCCCAGTAGTTTGTGTCTCTGCCCCTCCCACAAGGGTGAGATTTCCCCCAGTAGTGTCTCTGCCCCTCCCACAATGGCGAGATTTCCCCCCAGTAGTTTGTGTCTCTGCCCCTCCCACAAGGGTGAGATTTCCCCCAGTAGTGTCTCTGCCCCTCCCACAATGGCGAGATTTCCCCCCAGTAGTTTGTGTCTCTGCCCCTCCCACAAGGGTGAGATTTCCCCCAGTAGTGTCTCTGCCCCTCCCACAATGGCGAGATTTCCCCCCAGTAGTTTGTGTCTCTGCCCCTCCCACAAGGGTGAGATTTCCCCCAGTAGTGTCTCTGCCCCTCCCACAATGGCGAGATTTCCCCCCAGTAGTTTGTGTCTCTGCCCCTCCCACAAGGGTGAGATTTCCCCCAGTAGTGTCTCTGCCCCTCCCACAATGGCGAGATTTCCCCCCAGTAGTTTGTGTCTCTGCCCCTCCCACAAGGGTGAGATTTCCCCCAGTAGTGTCTCTGCCCCTCCCACAATGGTGAAGAGCCGATGGGTGGTGTAATGGTTTCAGGGATTCCCGGTCGGGATATGATGACATTCAGAAGTAAAATTGTAAAATTGTGCAGATG